GGCCTCCTGGAGCTCTGTCTTTAGCAACTGTATGCGAAGCTCTTATCTGTTCTCTGGAGGTGTTATCACTTCCCCTAAAGCATTTGTCATCCTAGGAAGGGATTCAAGTCATTTGTTTGCATCAGATGGTGATTAGCTGTGACTTTACTGTTGTCATTAAACATTATGAACAGAAAGACATCGCAGGCTGAATTAGCGAAGTCTCTTCTCAGATGTTGACACTGCAAAAATCCCAAGTTTGCACCAGGGAAACAGCTCCAGTATTGTCCCCTCAGTGGCTCTTTCCAACATTCTTTTCTTATGGCCTCATAGTTACCAAATAAGATAAGTTGTAGGAGACGAGTATTTTATGTTTTAATCTCTGTTGTGTAACGTTCTTCAGAGGACAGTTGATATTAGATAATGGTGTTAGCCTGACATCACTGTAGATATTTTTTTGGCGTCGATTTCTTTGCTAAGTTTTAGTTTAGATCTTTCCTAAGTACAGCAGAACATACATTTCTTAAAACTTAGAAGTTCTCCAAAATGTAGCAGAGTGAAGCTACATTTTTTGATATTGGTTTACGTGGGGTCTAGTTTAGTTAGCATCCATCCAAGCGAATGCCTGTGCCCAGGGCCATGTCCTCTGATAATGGTTTAACGGGGACTCTGATGCTAAGATGCCTACTCGGAGCGGGGCGCCTTGGTCTTATCATCCCCACCCACAGTTCGCTCCTGAGATGGCATCAGAGGCCAGGGTATGTGCATCCCGCTGGTGGGCTCCAGTGAGATCTGGGAAGGGCGAGATAAAAGTCCTCAACATCTGCAAGTCTGAATTCTGAGGCAGAGCCAGTAACCGTGCCAGCGACGGCTGTGGGGAGGTGTGCGTGCTCCCGGGAGCTGAGTCCTCTCGGCTTCGCGCCCTGCGTGTGTTTGTGCGCGTGGGCCGTGCAGGATGGTGCCGAACGCAGCACACGGGCACGTGGACCCGCGGCCCGCTGCCAGCAGAAGCTCAGTGTCCTCCAGGGTCACTAGGTCTCTGCATTTCGAGATTCCGCTTAAGGTTCCACGGGTCTAGTCCACGGGGCCACACGTTCACGGGCGCCGCTCCCTCTGCTCACGCAGCAGCCAGCCGCGACTCATCGCGTCACGTGGATGCTGCTGAAGTGTAAATGCATTCGGTGGAGGCGTGCATCATGCCTCCGCGTTAAGGTGCAGCCTGAGCCCCAGCCTGCATCTCAGGCAGGGGGTGTAATTTTTCTGGCCGTGTGAAAATGGGGGTCCGTGGAGCTGCGTTTGCTAATCCGCTCACGGGTGCTGACGTGCCCCGTTCAGCCCGAGCTGTAACAGCCCCTGTCGTTTGCTGTCTCCTGCAGGCTGTGGCGTGGGAGTGTGATGAAGCCGCCAAGAACGCGTGTTACAGCAAGGGCAAGTCGAAGGTAAGGGGGGCGTTTTGGGGGGGCGGGGGGACGACCGGGGCTGCTCCTGCTGCAGGGCAGGGAGCGCATGTGTGCCACCCCCGGTGAGCCTGGGAAAGCGAGATCCAAGACACGTGTCCGCCAGTTCTCAGGGCTTTACTACGGTGACGCGGCCCGCGGTTTCCGAAAAGGATTCAGAACAGAGCTTGTGGGCGCCTGTGCGATCGTTGGGCTGAGGTGCGGAATCCCTCGTCTGTGCCACCACTTAGACCCGTCCGAAGAGTCTAGTTGAAAGTCTGGAGTCTCTGACCTCGTATCTACCTGTGCAAGAATCCTCCGCACCCCATCTTACCCGTGGGGGTAGAGCGTGAGGAGCAATGGGTGATTTAGCTATCTCTAATAGAAAATTTTGCATAAAGATGTTTGGGATTTATTTACAACTTCACATTTCGTTAAAATAAGCTCTTGTCTACCCCCCGCACCCCCCCACCCCGTCCTTGCAAGTTCTTCAGCAGAGAGCAGTGTGGCGCCCAGGCCCAAGCGCACTCCCCGAGTGGGTCCACACTGCGGGCCCCACCCCGGGCCTGGCCTGAGAAGACAGAGGGGTGCTGGGACCTGTCGCTGGCAGCTCATTGGCGCCCCTCTGGGGGCTCCCAGCTCCGGGAGCACAGGGCTCACCTCGGGGTCACTAAGGAGAGCAGTGGCCGGGGAGCAGCGAGGGGAGCTCGCCCCCAAGCGTGGTCCCGGAACGCGCAGCCCGGCGGAAATCCTCACGGCCCCTGCTTGCAAGAGTCGTGAGCACTCGATCTTATCGGCGGCCATGGTCCTCCCTGGTTGCCAAAGCTGAATAAAGACCTAGGCAGAGGGAAGAGGCCGAGGAAGATCATCCGACTGCAGCCAGGGAAACACAGGGCAGCTGACGGCGGCTGTTTACTGCAAGACAGTCCTGTCAGAGGCGCCTCAGCCACATCCGCAGGCCACGCGGAGACCACCGCCGGGCTGGGGCTCCGGCCGGCAGCCTCCGCTGAGCTCGTGTGAATTGCCCCAATGCCAGAGGCCCCGTGGGGCCTCCGCCCTCCTCGCTGTCCTGCCCCGCGTGTCCACGCTGCACCCAGCACAGACAGGACCCGGTGCTGCGGCGGGCAGGGAGGGCAGCGTCCCCGGCCCCGCTCCCCACGGGCCTGCGCCCCTGCTCCAACGCCCGCACAGCTGTCGCCCTGCCGGGCCGGGGTCTCCCGAGGGGCCGGGTGCTGCCTGCCGGCTTCCTCCACTGTGCGTCTTCCTCTAGCGCTTGCTTTTCCTGCCTTTCTTGTCTCCATCTCCGCCGGCCTTCTGGCTCTTCCTCCCCCCCCCGAGTTTGGGGTACACCAATAAGCACCGTTCAGCTGTGGATACCCAGTGACACACTTATCAGCCCCGTCTCCCAAGATGTGACCTGGGTAACGCCCCTCCTGCCCTTTCAGGAGCCTAGCTGACCACCCCCCCGTGGACACCTCCAGCACCCTGGCCTCGCCCACCTCCTCGGGTCCTGCCTGCCCCTCCCCACTGCCCTACCAGCCTGCGCCTGCACCCCCACCCCACCCCACCCCACTCTGCCCCGGCTCCCCGGCCCCGCATGAAGGGGAAGCAAAGCCTTCCCCGTGCCCGGCTTCTGCTGCTGGGCGATCCTTAGAGATCCTGCGAGGTAGACTGCTAGAAAATGAGGTTCTGGGGTGAGAAGAAATTCTCTTGAATCAAAACTGGCCGTGTTTTGCCATGAGCAGTGATCGCTGGCTGGACAGAAGGGGAAGCCAGAGGCCACGCGAAGTCCACCTTCTGCGCCCAGTGGCTGGGCCGGGCCACACTGCGTGCTCGCTCCCGACAGGAAAGTGAGAGGCACTTTGTCCCCTGACGTGAGACCTGTCAGTTCTGTGTTTCTGGTTTTAAAGGGTCATGAACAATGACCGGGTCAGAATGTCTACACTGGCGTCTTGAAGCTGAGCGGTAAGATGGATGGATACGGCTGGACTCCAGCTAAGTCTTGAGCAAGGAGAAACCCCAGACGCGCCCTGTGCTGAGCCAGGTGGGCGGAGCTGAGCCACCTGCACGGTGCTCGTGGGCGCGAAACATGGCCGGTCTGCAGATGGGCGCTGCCGGACCTTGGGCTGGTCCCTGGCAGGGAGCCCACGGGCACGCTGGCTGCTTTTCCTCTGGCATCCTGGGGCTTATTTGAAATAAATGCCACCCGGCCCAGCAATCCTCTGCTAGGAGACCCGGGCCAGTCCCGGGACACAGAGGGGAGCTGACGAGAACCCCTCTCGGAGGGAGCAGTCTGGCCACCCCTGTCCAGGGCTGCCCTGGACTCAGCATTCAAACCACCGAACCCCCTCTTCTGCCCATTCCAGGGGTTGAATCAAAAAACATACCCACGGGGTCAGAGTTGCACAGATGAAGCATCTGTTTGGGGGAGTGGAATTCAGGCCTCCGGCGTGGGCTTGGGGATGGGCGAGTGGCGAGATCTGACGTTGTTGCTGGTGCTGGCTGCGGTGAACTCTGACCCAGATAGCACGCATTCCCTGCCTGAAATCAAAGGAATCATGCAAAATGGGACATTTCAAAAATGAGAAAGACCATGCCCACTGGCTCGTTCTCCGGGCCCGAGCCCCGCTGGGGAGGCATTTCAAGGCAGAGCCAAGAATGGGGGCCCACAGCCTTCCCACAGACATGCCTCTGCCCTCCACAAGAAAGCTGTTCCCTGGCCTGCCGGGACCCACGAGGCCATTTTCACGTGAGGTCAAGGAGAGGGACAAAAAGTGGAATTCTGGAATCTGGGCCTGTCTCGGGGGGTGGGTCAAGTTCCCTTTGTGTGCCCACCCCCAGCACCGCGAGAGGGGGAGCGTCTGTGTTTAGACTCTAAAGCCTGGTTGCGGTTAGTTCTTTTTGCAAGGCCACTCTGGAGAGTGGCTTTGAGACTGCTGATCTGCCGCTTCCCGGGATGTAAACCAGGCGCGCCTGGTCTGCTCGGTGGGTGTGTCTGAGCCGGCCCCAGCCATCGGGACTTCACCAAGGGCCGCAGGGCTCCCGGGAGTGAGGGCTGCGTCCTGTGCAAGCCCACGTCAGCACTTTCCGCTGCCTCGTTCAGAAGCCGCTTTGGGTATTTTAACCCCACGCCCCTCGAATGACTGGGCTGGCGGGGCGCGGGGGCAGTTTCGTGGGCGTCTGGGGTTCTGGCATCACGCTTCCCGCTGCTCTGCTGTTGAGGGCTGAACGCTGGGCAGGCGCCCTGGGGTCCAGGAGGGGGTGAGCCTGGACCGGAGAGGCTGACGCCGGGCGCTTGTGCTGCGAGCCGGGCCTGCCTTTGTCCTGAGGGGTGGCCGCAAGCCTGAGCACGGTCTGGGTGACCTGCCGTCAACCGGCAAGCGGACCCACCGTTCCATCTTGTAAATCAAGATGCTCAGACAAGCCCTGTGGAGGCAGCTGGGATGGAATCGTCCTGTTACGGAGAAGTGCGCCCCGATTTACACTGATGTATGTCATGCACACGTGGCTGTTTGACTTTATTTGGGCTCACAGAGCGTAACTTCGCAGGAGATCCATGTGTACGTTTATGTTTATTAATATGCATCTGTGTTTGCACAGGAATAATATCTGCTCTTAATATGTCCGCACATATCTGTCTTGTGCACATCTGACTGGAGGATCATTTTTTTTCTAGATCTCACTGGTAGTAACAACTAGTGATAGCAACTAGTAATAACAACTAGTGATGGCAACTAGTAATAACAACTAGAATGGCAACTAGTGATAGCAACTAGTAATAGCTACTATTA